CTCAAAACTATCAGGTGCAAAGGAAAAGAACATTAATGAAAATAATGTATTGGTAATTAGATATAAATTGCATCTTAGTTTTGGGCAATAACTTACCTATAAATTATTTATAAAACGTATTAAACGTACTACATACACCATTTATTGCAAATTGCAAGGTGCAAATCAAATATCCAATCAACCAAATATTTTAGTTTAGCCTTTACAAAACATTGCCAAATCTCCTTGGTATATATGAAAAGAAGTGATTCAGAAGATTAAATTGCCAACAGTTGATTAAATTAAAAAGTATGTAGGTATAAACATGTTCAATAATAAAGAAACTTGGTAATATTTTAGACATACTTCTTTTTTGATAGTAGTTTAGTAATAACTCCTTTAAAAAATCTATTGGATTTGCATTGTGAGTTTTGAAGTTCTATTCTTGTTATTTATCAGTACCTCATCTTATAGTATAGAGTATCAGTACCTCATAGTATAGAGTTACAAATTAGTTCTCTAATCATTCTTAGTCTGCAAAATTTACTTAACAACAGTAGATTGTATTTAAACATAACGTGTTGATAAATATTTAAACATAAAATAGAAGCGCAGCGTGGACGACGGCTAGTCTAAACTCACGGATCGCCAAGAGGGAGAACACGAGGACGAGTTTTGCGCAGCGCTGCATGGTCACCTGAGGAACTGAGAACTGGAAAGCGATGCCCGTCGCCGCGCTTATAAGCTCTTGTGGAGCAGGAAACTCGTTTGCAACCCCGCTCCAGATCAGGGGCTTCCCGCGATTCAAGGAGGAAAAAATATCTGCACAGGTTTTCTCTACGGCCACATATTTTTTTTTCCGTTCAACCACCCACGCGTTCATTTGTGTGAGTTATATGAAAGCTTGGTACGTAGGTCATTGTTCCTGGAGGGACACTTCAAGTCAACAGTTATGAGAAAAACGTGCACGAGATACATTTATAAAGAACACTTATACATACATTTGGAAAGAATTCAAACCTAGCAGTAGACACGAATCCCTTGAAAACGTCATGGCAACGAAAACCAACAAAAAACTTAGCCGAAGAGAACTAATCAAAATTCGGACGGAACATTCCATAAAAGCCATCCTCACTTCATACAAAAAGAAACTCCCAGAACTTGCAATACATGAAACTGTATTATCAACAATGACCATATTATTAATTCATACCTTAAATTTCCAGTACAGAGAAGAAACCTATAACAGGGCATATATGTCAGTGGTCTACTATATTCCTCAGTCCATCAAGATTAAGTCATCAAATTTCGTAAAATTACTGGCATTATCTCATCAATGTAAAAATTAATCAATTCACTAATTTTATAATATAATATATTTGAATTGTATACATAAACACACATAATATGTGTTCTAATTATTGTACTTAATGTAGTCGCTAATGTCCACGTCGTTGAGGCGACTTAAACGAAACAAATTTAAATTTTATTCAAGAGTACATTTCAATTCTTACAAGCACATTGTCAAGGAGTCTCAACGGAAAGCGCTTCGCTAATTATTTAGGGAAAATGTCTGTTATGTCTAAAATATTGTTGTATGTTTCTTTATTACTCAACATATTCACATCTATGTCATTTTATATTTCATTAACTGTTGGCATTTTAATCATGTGAATCACGTCGCATCAAACATACCAGGAAGCTTCGTCATTGTGTCCTAAATATAGACAAAAATCTTTGGATGATTGGATATTTAATTTGCAACTTGTGCCCCAATACTGAATGCAATAGATTAAACAGATTTATAAATAAATCATTGGCTAAAACTAGGATTAACTTTCTTTCTCGCTACCAGCACTTCATTTTCATTGAAGTTCTTTTTATTTACACATGATATGTTCTTTCCACGGGAGTCTCGTATCAAGATAAACTTTTTAATGTGTCACTGAATCTGTTCGTTTTCACGACGGAACAAGTTCTTTTCTTCATGATCAAACAAATGTGACTTCATTTTCTTTTATTTCCTGATATTCTCTAAGTATTTCGTTATGTTTGTAAATGTGGAGATGGTCCTGAAGCTATCTGAAATTCCCTGTAGGTAGATTGTCTAAAGCTAGAACTGATGTATTGTCATCAAATGTTCTTTTGTGTGTGTTTGATCAGAAGTGTGCAGTAGCTACGTACTATCGTACTACCTCATAAAGGGTAGTTCATTGCCGAAATGCATAACAATTCGTATTTAATACTTAAAAAACTAATATATTATTCTTAACTACTTTCTTTTTTAGAACTGAAAATATTTTTTAAAATGAAACGAAGTCCTAATAATAACTAAATAATAATTTGTTGTTTGTCCTTTTATTGAATTCCTATTATCTCTCTTATGTGTTGCCAAGGGTTTCCGAAGATACTCGTGGTTGTTGAAGTCTCTGTGTAAAAACAACAATCTCCTTTGTGACAAGTATTTTATCAAACGAAAATGTTTAAAATATTTATTTTATCAATTTTGTTTTCTCTATACAATGTCTACTTCATCTAATTTCATGCCTCTCGATGAAAAGACGCAATAATACTAGTAACAGGGAAGGAAGTTTGCGGCCGGCAAGAGTACCTCCTCGCGGTCGCGCATGTAGCATCAAAATGGGCGAGGGCACGAAGGTGAACTCACGAAGGAAAGTTTATGGTGGCAAAGCACAATATTTTTAAATTATTTAATTTCGAATAGTGTTGTGATTTTAAATGCTTGAGAGCTAAACATCGCTATACAGAGTATTGATGATTCTGATTATTTACTTAATGACGTGGCCTTCAAAGTTAGATTTTAAAATAAAGTTATATCCATTTTTTTCGGAAAATGTGAGTAGTCTTGCGTAATTATTGCATTTGTTTAAATCGAAAATTCGAATATCCCACAATTATTTTCCTAGAATCTTTCAGAGGTTATCAGGTCTCAATATGACATTGGCATTATCGCGTCAGTTGGAAAATTATTTTGAGAATTTCAATTTGAGATGTTTTAGGTACATGGAAGCACTTTGGGAACGTCAAATTAAGGACGATATATGAACATTATATGAATTAAGTTTTTGTGGCTAATACGCTACGACTGGCAATAATTTTTACAAGTGATGGCTTAAATGTGTTAACACGAACATAAATTAAGGTATTATAATTGTTCATAACGGTCACTAATACGAGAAAGTGTGTATTATATAATTACTTGTTAATTTGGGAGTATAAGTGCTTTAAATTAATTCTTACAAAGTTTCTCGACCAACGAGAGAAACTTTTTCAGTGAAAATTTGGATATAGGATACTATGTTATTCTTAATGTCATATTTGAATTATTTTATTAGGGGTCCGGAAAATTAAAGAAATGCGAAAAAATACATTTTAGGCACCGATTGATATCAGCTGGAAAGAGGAAGAGAATTCTTTTGCGTTATCATTTAATTTAAAATTATGTATTTAATACGAAACTTGTTTTCGATACTGAACATTTTTTCGACATATCTGATGTCAGTGCGCTGAGAATAATAACTATACAAGTAGACCTAAGTGAATTACAACAAAACAATTGAGTTTTCGCGATGTCCTTCCAAACATCTGTTCACTTATTGCTTTGGTCTTTTATGTGCTCAACCCTCAACAACGCCTGGAACAAAATGTGTGTGCTTTCAACCTTCGAGCTCTGCAAAGCTTGTCGATACGAGCCGTCGAAGTGAGAATATGAATGCAAACAAACGACCGAGCTTTAAGACATCGCCATGCAAATGGAAGAATCGACTTTTAACCTAGGTGGAAGACACATCGGCATTGTGAACCATCTCTTTTGGAATACGAATAACAAATCGTTGTACACTGTTCTATGCGTAATATTAGGTAGTGTATAAATAAAAGATAGAAGGCAGATTTGTCAAAGTAGTGTGAAATGATGAATGAATGAAAACAAATTTGCAACCAAAAACAGAAAGCTTATTTTAAATAAAAAACGTGCTTCTTACATATACATTCCTCTCTATTGATAATCTCAAAACTTTAAACGAATTATCAGTTTTGAAAATTTCCTTGTAATTGCGAATCAAGCAAACGGCATGTGTATTTGGTTATCTGTCGGCAAAGTGAGTTATGTTTTAGATGCGACACATAAAATTTTCCAATATTCATTCTTAAATATAAGGGACATTGGGTTAGCACCCATTGTAACAGTCTGTTACACAGTCTGTTACTTCTTGCAAAGACACCAGTATTTTCTTGCCATCAAAAGTACCTACGTTTCGATTTATGTCGAATAAACCTAAAATATAACTTTTCCATTTGTTGTAGTCTCTCATATCAATGTTTTGTTTGTTTCATCATAATTGTTCAGCTTTCCAATAACCCTATGTGTTTGTCTTTTTTAAATCTAATATTATAGTTGTATTATAGATCTATTATTACATCTACATTATTGTTGGAATATGGGAATCAACTAAAGTTCATCCTCTAGATTTCATCCAAAATCATTGAGATTAGCCAGTTGAAAATATCTAAATTTTGCACCATACGAAATAACACATACACAAAGGAATAGGTAGAATTCGTTAGCTGTGCGTCATCACCTAAATATTATGAACCAACGAACCATTATCGGGAGCAACCAAATATATCCGAAGAATTCTTAGTTAAGTACGGAGGTTGCAAAGACGTCAAATCACTCAACATGTAAAGTTCTTAAGGAAGACCGAGTGCAAACTCGTTCTCGGCTCCAATATGAAAACTTGTTCTGAGCCAGTGGTTCCCCCAAGGCATGGAGAGAAAGGCACCATTTCTACTCTTGGCAAGCAACAACGTCAGAAACAAGAGCGTGCTTCCTAGAATTTCTCTCACCGCGCATCCTCCCTCCTCCCCCCTCTCTCTCTCTCTCCCTCTCCCCCTCTCTCTCTGTCTCTCTCTCCCGCTAGCTGGCGCGCCCGCGCGCACTCCCACTCTACCTGGGAGGGGTACAGTGGTCAAACCAATGAGAGTGGATGTCCTTGCAGCCTCCGACAGGTGTTAAAAGCGAGCTCGCAAGCGCTAGAGGTCAGAGCCTGCAGCATCCGACTGAAAATGAACTGCCACGTCTCTGTCGCCCTTGCCATCGTGCTGCTGTGCGCCGGTGAGTACAGCAACAGAATATTTGTGATATAAGGGTGTGAGAATGCATGTGATGTAAGACAAATCGGCTTAATATAATGAGCCAAAGCGATTTGCATTTGATAATTCAAGCAATTCTGGTGAGAACAAAATTATATTTTTCCTCTTTGTCAAATGGTTCAAAATTTCTTTAACAAATGCATTCAGAGTGTATGTGGAACCCTTCGTTCCGATATAAATTTCTTTTCCTGTTAAATTATGCCAAACTGACCTACCTCACTTGCATTTTCAAACCTTCTTTTGCAGACTATTCTGAAATAATCAATTAATTTCAATTTGTCTGTACCAACATTTGATTTAAATGTTGAACGATTTTCGATAGCGCCGTCAGATTGTTGGAGCTAGTTGAATTTTAACTTCCTGATGGAAGATCTAATTTATACCTACATCAATTTGTATGGTTACGTCAAAAGCTGCAGAACGTAGGATGTAGCTGGTTTAGTTTGATACTGTTAGTTGCTTATTTAAATTACGCGTAGATGTCAGTATTTAGGAAAGAGTGACAAAACAAAAGTATGGTTATACTTACACTGCTGTTGGGAATTCAAGTTAAAATATATTATCTTCTTACTAGGCTTATTTAAGTCGATGAGCAACAAGTGTACACGACTATTCCTTCATTGTCTCATGACAATGTAAAAATTATTGTAATTCATTAGTCTTTGTTTGTGTGTGGTGCATCTAATGTTTTGTGTTTAATGTCCAATACCTTAATTATGTTTAAAATAAGTGGTCGCTAATGAACTTTTGTAAAATGACATAAAATAAACAATTTTTAAAAAAACGCTTTTGAGAATTGCGTTTCTGAGTACCATAATTTACAAAATTACCGTTCTTAATAGAAATAAATGTTAACAAAGATTTCAAGAACTGTCTATAATAAGTCATTCATCTCTAATTACGAATATTTAAATTTTAAGCGTCGGTGGACGAACGGCGAAGTCCTCATTTTGGTGTAACACAATACCTTTCAAGTACTAATATTTTCATCGAAGAAAACTTTCGTTCTTGCTGCTTTATTTCGAACTAATAAAACGTAATTCAAAAGTTTTATTATAATTACATACTCCGAATTGTAGGCCCACGATTGCTCATTGGTTAACGTGCTCGCAATCCACGGAGCAACCTCGGCTTCGATTTCCGGCCGAGGCAAAATTATAACTGTGGACTTTCCTTACAAATGTCCCAGTATCTATTGCTGCGTGACGATGAGAAAGCACACCCTCAGGTTTTGAAGACCAGTATATACAGTGGACGGATGTCTTCGTGCTAACAACACAAACCACTTATCCCATGGCCTAAAGGGCCAAAGCACACAACATTCCGAATTGTACTAGGAAATATTACTACATCTGCTTTCAAGATAACCAGTTTATGTTAGGGATCAATAGATATAATAAAGCATTAGAAATTTTTTTTAAATTTATAATAGTAAAACTTCATACTTTGTGTAGTAACATTTCAATGTTCAAATCGGACCACGTAAACTTATTTGTTGACAGAATGTTGTGTTTCTTGTGTATAATGTAAGAAAATATTGCATCTAAAATTTAATTTTTAATAGTAAACTCTATTTGATCATGCTCATTTAACAATTTCGATTTACCCATATTTGCTCTTATGTAGATTGAACTTTCAATATTATTTTGGGTATAATGTATATCATCTAATAGGTGATAAATAATTTTTATCCTGAAGTTTACAAATTAATGTGTTAATGTCAGATTATTATAAAGAAGCAATATATCTTGTAATGTGCCTTAAAAATATAATTTTATTATTATTATTATTATTACTATTATTATTAATAATATTTTATGAAGTTTTAGAAAAATAGTTGTTTAGTTGCGAAGTTTTGTATTCGCTATCATTTTAGGAAGACGTAAGTCACATTAACTTCCGACAGTTATGTAGATAAAGTAATTAAGAAGATTGTAATTAATTATTGTAAAATTACTGTACATTTTTCGTGTTTTTCGACAAATAATATACCCCGTAATATTATTCTTTACAGCAGGAGCGTCTGTAGCTCAAGAAAATCCATGCAGGTTACCCAGTGAATCAGGAAGGTGTTTTGCTTACATTCCTTCCTACTACTTTAACTCAGCAACCGGAAGTTGTGAGCAGTTCATTTATGGAGGGTGCGGAGGAAACGCTAACAGGTAAATATAATTACCGATTTCATCAAATAAAAACATGTATTACTTTTTTATAATGAAATATGTATAATATACACTTTAGTGAGTTATCCCTTATTATTAATATTACATTTTCTTGCATCAATTAATCTTCCTCGAAGGAAGGACATTAAAGCGAGTCTTGAAATTTCTAGGAGTGCAGTAAATTAGTATTACAAATGAATTTCATACGATTTTATGCAGTAACATAATAAATTAGTGAAATAGCGCTATACAGTGTAAAGCTCCTTAACTCATGATCGTACGTCGTAAAGAAACAGGCGTTGAATACAGGATTTCTGACACAATTTTATTTCAATAACGTTTCGGCGAAAATTCATGGTCGTTAACATTGACATTTGATATTTTTATTCGCATGTATCCAATTTGACATTTGTCTTGTCTTCCCCTCTCGAACGGACTCTACAGTAATGTTTTGATAACGGCTAACGAATTAAACGAATGATTTTCAATTGTTAACCAACAATTTACTTTAATTTTTCTGTTACAGATTTTCAACTGTATCCGATTGTGAAAAACGTTGTCTTCGCTCCTGAAGAGATTATCTGAATAATTTATATAACTCAGTGTACATCTTGTCATATTTTTAATCTTTATGTAATCTAGTTTCTAATAAACAAACAATTATCAAAAACCTGTGTAATTTTAATAATAAAAGTTTGATGAGCACATTAACATTTAAGAAAACAAAATTCGAGTCTTACAGGATAATTCTAGTTTTGTAAGATATCTGGTATAATTAATATGGTTGAATACCACCTAAATATTTTGATAAAAATATCCATTAAGCACAAAATTTGTCTGAATCACAAATAGGTATTTCCATTTTTGTTTTCTGTTTTTTGGTGGTGGAAGTTATTATACCTCTATGCAAATGTCAGCGAATGAATGATTAACTGTCTAATTTCTATGCTTTATAGCCTCTTTCAGTCTTAGTGGGACCTCGGACGTTAAGATGTTTCCACATTCCCTTATTTATGTGAGGCTGCTTGATTTGTTAATTTAACCTGGACACTTATTCATCGTAACATCTCCACAAATTCTAAAAAATGCATCATAAATTATGCCTTTGAACGAATTAATACGTTATTAGACATTATAGTCTCTGTCCGACCGAATCACATATTACGTAAACTCTATTGAATGAAAATCTCATTATGACCTACTTATGTTATACATATATCTCAAAAATCAATTATTGATTAAATGATTGTTTAGTGATTCAACTACCATGGTCTTTAGTTCCTTAAGTGTAGTGCATATTTTTGCTCGGGAGGTGGCGGTGCCCATTCCCCCGCAGATTGGCGCAGTCCTTCCGCCAGCTAGCGGGGTTTCCTCAACCAGGTATCTGCTATCACTGGGGCACCACCCCAGCTGGGAAAAGCTCTAAGCTCGCGATGGGTCTCCCGGCATATGTGGTAGTGTAGTGCATATTAGTGTAAGTGTGTGTGTGTTTGTAAGGGGTCAGGTTAGGTAAAGTAAGTGGAAGGTGAGATCGGGCGCGCTCCGTGGCCCGTTTGTTAAGGTACCGCTCCGACATTCGCCTGGTATTGATCGGAGAAACCACGGAAAACTGCCGGTCAGAACAGCCGTCCTCTAGAACCGTCCTCCAGGCAGCGACTGAATCTGACCTAGCTAACGAGCCAGTGTCGAAACTTCTGCCACCGTCGGGTCTCAAACCTATCACCTCTCAGTCAGAGGGACTCCAGTGACAACTGTCGATGCCCTGAACCATCTCTCTCGGTAAAATCAATTATTGAACATGATAAGCTTTCCATTACAAAAAGGCTGCTTGCCAACTGCGCTTTTTTTCAATCGCTCCCTCACGGGTATGCTTCCGTACGTTTTATTACAGAGCACGTGCTTTAATATTCATTTACCACACTCCACTTTTTACACAAAATAAAAACCTTTGAACTAAGTTCAGATAGAGTACGATTCGTTCACTATATGGAGAATATAAATAATTATTCTGCACACTCTATTAGTAAAATAATTTTTGGAGTGCTTACATGGTCTAGATGACTCCGTTTCTGAATATAATCATCGACTAATATTAGCCTTAAATTTCATTGTAATTGGCGTGGTATCAAACGGAAACAAACAAGGCCCGTAAATACCTTCTTTTTCCTGCTTCCGTTCCGTTGTTAGGTAATTAATTTAAAACTGGTCTCCGCCTTAATTCCGCCCCGCGTGGCGCTTCGTTCTCCTGGGAGCGGTCGTCCTTGAGGCAAGGCGCGGACGCCGCTAATAGCGACAGTCCGCGGGAAGTGTTCTGCCGACACCGCAGCATGCGGCGCGTCTTCTACCTCCTCCTGGCGTTGGTGCTGTTGCACGAAGGTACGTTTTGATTAATTTGACCACGAGGCCGAGAGAATGGCGGATTAGTCTTAGATAGTAATCGAAGTAGAACCTTGTTCGATAAAACATTTGCCGGTCTGGGGACAGTTTCACAAAGGTATAAGGAAACTACATTGGTCCATTTTACGACTTAGTAATTCAAAAGAAAAGTATGTAATGTTTTTGACAAAAAAATACATATTTCTCTCATTTTGACGTAATTTGATCGTTTTAATATCTTCACTTCGTAACGACCTATTTTATAACTTCCCGTCTATATTTCAAAGAAATGTCATCTTTATCATTGGGCATCACAACTACGGTCTAAAGTGGTCTCAATCTAATAAGCAAGCATCGAGCATATATCGTTCTTCTAGTCTTCATCATGTTTGGGTTCAAAAGCATATATAGTATTCCATACTCTTACATTGTCTTTAAGAATAGTTGTTTCGTTGCATTCGAGTCATTACTCTCGATTTACTAAGAGAGAAAATTTGTTTACTTTGGACTATTTTTCTTTTCTCTTTATTAATAATGTATCCGTTCAAATCCATATTTATTGAGAAACGTGTATATCTATGTATATTTTCCAGTTACGACTGGAACTTAATTTCAAGTACTTGGGTCGTTTTTATTTTGTGCTCACAAGTATATCACTCAACCAATTCATATATTAAACGTTTTAAATATGATGTTATCTTCCTAACTATGATACGGAGATCATTAGTAACATTATTAACATATTTATTTAATTTCGAATTGCATGACATGCCCTCTTACTTCCAAACGCACCCTCTCTACTCCAGTGTGAATGTTCAACATGATTTGAAGTCGTTATAAGGTTATAAGTGATTCATATAATTTTAGTTAGGACACATCTTGGATCTCATATTATAATATTGAATCCCACAAATTATATATTATATATTATATATTATATATTATATATTATATATTATATATTATATATATATATATATATATATATATATATATATATAATTCTTGGGATGCAATATTGGTACAACTCCAAAAGATGAGATAAATTAGTTTGATATTCTTACCTTCAATTGAAAAATATCATTCTTACATTCACACTTCTGCCATTTGTTGGTGGAATGCTGTACTGTAAGTTATGCTGCTGTTGGAAAGTAGACCAATGCGGGTCTAGAGACTGCATGAACTCTAAATTCGTGTGTTTTTTAGTTGTGCCTCTATTGCAGTTCACGGGCTGCAGATATATTCTTCAGAAATATTTTTTTATAATTGACATTAGTGACGGATTTATGTTAATCATTTGTTTGTTTTTTCTTTTTTAGATATTTTCTTACTTTTATTGTAAATAACTAATTACTCATTCTTAGTTTTCTAAAATGCTCGGTATAAATCTCTATTCTTGTTTTTAGAAATGACGAAGATAAATCAAATTTTGGTATAAAAATATAAATCGAAATGCTTGTACTTAGATATGTAACGATATGTGTGTGCTATTTGGTTTCCAGTGCCGACAGCTGTGGGTCAGGACAGTCCATGTCGCCTACCGAAAGAACAGGGGCGATGTCGTGCTAGTATATACTCATATTACTTTAACCCACAAACTGGGCAGTGCGAATCATTTCAATATGGCGGTTGCGGAGGAAATGCCAACAGGTATGTGGGAAATATTTCTGAAATAACATCTCGCTTCTGCGTCGTATCCTTCTGTATTGACTGTTGCATTTATGGTTATTTATTAATTTAGTTAGTTAGTTAGTTAGTTAGTTAGTTACTTAGTTATTAATTAATTTATTATTTTTGATGGTCGACTAACATATCTTCTGTTGGTGAGGAGGACGTTTGTGAGGATAAAGTCATTCTTCCTATATTCTGCTACTTTCTCTTTGATGACGTAGTATATTAACTTTATCTCTTACACTTTTCTTTGCTTTTTGTGCAGATAATCTTCTCCCCATACGTCACATACAGTTTTTACTATTTTTTTATTAAATAAATCTAAATCTTGTTCAATCTAAAAAAATTCTGCAAACAATCTCAGAAATTTTATTTCATTCGTTTTTAGTCTACTTTTATATGCTTGTGTTAATACTCACATCCCTACAGAAGGATTGAAATTGATGTTTTATAAATTTTCCGTGTAATTTCTTAATTTTTTTTTCTTTCTAAATGTTCTTCTGAGTAGACAGTTAATGTAATTATACGAATACCTTTCTATTTTCTTTTGTACAAAACACTAGTCAAGGCCGGTAATCCACTCAAAGTACTTAAAGCTTGTCACTTTTATTATTTCTTTATATATTTCCACGTCACATTTTGAGAGATTTCTTGTTGAGCTAAGACGTTACTTTTGTCATTCGTTAGTTTGATAAATGAATGCTTAATGAACATCACTAATAAAATATTTCACATTTTTCTTACCACAATCACAATATGTATTTTATTAAATACCCTCTCTCTAAGTCTCGAAAGGGTCTTCTCTACAAAAAAACGATCTTCCGTGTTTCAGGTTTCGGTCAAAATCTGACTGTGAGCAGCGCTGCCGTCGCCCTTGATCGCTGCAAAAGTAGTTTAATATTTTCTGAAAACTGTTTCAATTCATAAGAATTCCATTACAATTCCAGGTTTTTGTGAAATATATTTTGAATACCACATGTAATTTACTTTTTATTTAAAAAACAACATAACTTCCAGCATTTCATTTTTTTTGCAATTGGACCTTTGCAGTAAAATGCACCTCCCGGAATTGGAAAGTCAGACAGTACACTATCCAATCATGCACCTTATTGAGCGTATTTTTACTTGTAATATCATAAGTCTTGTAAACATTAATGAGTCACATTAATGAGTCCCCAATAGCACAAAAGGCATTATTGTCACATATCAACCATTTTTAGTTGTTTTACTTTCAGCTCTTAAGTCAAACTTTGAACAAAATGAAGTAGAAAATAAAGTAAATTGCTCATAAAATCACGAATTATTTGGAGTGGAAGAGTATAATTGTCATTGAATAATGTTCCTTGTGTGAATTTGTGTATCTTCTTAGCATGCGTAGTCTAGAAATTAGAGGTTGAAATGTTGATGGTAGAGTGCTTTTTTTAAATAGCCACAAGTAAAATCTGTTACTTCTACCCATTAGTACTAAAAGTTAGACGATGATCAAATACTTAAATGAAATTGAATGCAATAAAACTCATGCACAAAAGAAAACAAAATATTTTCGTTTCTTCACCGACAACTGATCATAATATAACGTGGAACCTCATAAGTAATTGTATACTTCAGTTAAAAGAATTTTATTTTACCATGATGTCAGGATTGATATAACTCGAACATTTGAGAAGCTTTCAAACTGCAACTTCATTCACATATCATTCACAATGTTTATTAGTGCTGTTTCGAATATCTGTATTATATTGTATTTTCCGGGTGTACTTCTAGTGAATCGAGTATGACACTATCAAACTTATTCTCAAATGTAGGTCCAATTTTTTTCTTTAATTTTAAACGTTTGTTTGAATAGCAGACAGATCACTTACAAATATGGCAAATGTTTTATTTTTATTAAAACTTCTAAATTTTCGAAAAAAGCTCTAAAAGTATAGCTTTCTTTTTATCAAACGCGGTTCATAAGTTCGTAAAATATCATTAGAACTACTATTACTTTATCTACCGAACCAATTACAATATTTTTCAAATATATTCTACTTTTTTCAGGTTTAGTTAACTTTCAGAAATTTGTCTATCAATGCGTGCGAGGAGAATGAGTTTAAAGAAATTTTCAACAGAACACTAAGTTTCACATTCTTTTGTTTTACGTATTCATGGCCATCCTTTACATTAACGTAGTACTTCTACACTATCAGTAACTAACGCGTTTCAGGCCTAATCTGAATGTGAATGACATGATAATGTAATTTTTATAAACTCACCAACTCAATAAAGTAACAATACTTGATAGTTATCCACCCAATCCACAATCCATAAAATACACCAATACATAATACTTTCATAAATTTGAACTCCATTCATCATGCACACGAGAATTTTTAACTTAATTTGCAATTGTCTTAAAGTTTTGTTTAGATATTCAAATAGTTAGTAGAGAAATTTTACAACACGGGGCTTTTTTATTAAGTCTTACAAAACAATGTTATAGATACAAATTTGTATAAATCGCTTCCACAGCTCATCACTATTACTAATTTTGATATTTTTCTAATGTAAAAGTAAAGAATCTTCCCAAGGAAAAGGTAATTTTACTTAAGATATTTCTAGATCATTTGTTGTAACTCGTCCATGAATTTTCTAAAAACAATTATGTATGCGCAAATTGTATATAATATGTCATGTTAAATGAGTATATTTTATTTGAATATTTTTATCCTATGGGAGACATTTTGTAGAATTTCCATCAATCTATAAAAATTAAAAGGTTATTGATGCATTTCCTACGGAATATTAAATCTTAAAATATGAGTTCGTAAACGAATGTCAAATAAAAGTGACAACAGAAAAAATGAAAATTCAGGGAGGGGGAAGAGAAAGAAACAATTGCACGTTGATAACATTTTCATATCTGAAGCACAGATTAGTGTTCATGAAGAAATACTTCGTGCAGAAGCGGGCGATATAAGAATAAAACAAACATTTTGTTAATCATTACAGTTAATCATTCATTCGCTGACATTTGCATAGAGGTATAAGAACTCAAACCGCCAAAAAACTGAAAACTACAATGGAAATAAATATTTGTGATTCTGACAAAATTTGTGCTTAATGGATATTTTTATCAAAATATTTAGGTGGTATTCAACGGTATACATTACACCATATTTTTTACAAAAAATGAACTATCCTGTAAGATTCGAATTTTGTTTTCTTAAATGTTAATGTGCTCATCAAACATTCATTATTAAAATTACACAGGTTCTTGATAATTGTTTATTAAAAACTAGATTACATAAAGATTAAGTATATGACAAGATGTCAACTGAGTAATATGAATTATTCAGATAGTATCTTCAGGAGGGAAGACAACGATTTTCACAATCAGATACAGTTGAAAATCTGTAACAGAAAATTAAAGTAAATTTTGGTTAACAATTGAAATTAATTTGTTTAATTCGTTAGGCGTTATCAAAACATTAGTGTAGAGTTCGTTCGAGAGAGAAAGACAAGAAAAGGGTCAAACTGAATACATGCGAATTAAAATATCAAGTGTCAATGTTATCGACCATGAACTTTCGCCGAATCGTTATTGAAATAGAATTGTGTGTCAGAATTCCTGTATTCAATGCCTGTTTCTATACAAAGTAGGATTGAGTTAAGGAGTTTTACACTTACATTTATTATAAAATGATTAAATTGATTAGTTACTTGCAGAAGTAGTATTTAATTTCTTCATGTTCGCGACTCTATAAAATACTTCAAATAAACTTAGTTGCTTTATTATATTGTATAGCGCTATTTCACAAATTCATAATGTTACTGCATAAAAATCGTATGAACTTTATTGGTTACACTAATTTATTGCACCCGTGGAAATTTCAAGACTCGCTTAAATGTCATCCCTTTGAGGAATATTTATTGACGCAAGAAAATGTAATATTATTAATAAGGCGTAACTCACTAAAGTGTATATAATACAGATTTCATTATAAACGAGTAATACATGTTTTTATTTGATGAAATCTGTAATTATATTTACCTCTTAGCGTTTCCTTCGCACCCTCCATAAATGTACTTCTCACAACTTCCCGTTGCTGAGTTAAAGAAATAGGAAGGAATGTAAGCAAAACAACTTCCTGAATCACTGGGTAATCTGCATAGATTTTCTTGAGCTTCAGACGCTCCTGCTGTAAAGAATAATATTACGAGGTATATTATTTGTCGAAAAACGCAAAAATTTACAGTAGTTTTACAGTAATAAAACTTATATCTTCTTAATTACTTTATTTACATAACTGTCGGTGGTTAATAGGTCTTACATTTGCCTAAAATGATAGCAAATATATGATATTTCAACTAAACAACTATTTTTTAAACTTAATAATAATAACAATAATAATATAATGCTCTTTTTAGGCAAGAAGCGCTACTAACATTACGAGATGTAATGCTTCTTTATAAAAATCTGACATTAACACATTAATTAGTAAACTTAAGGATACAAATTATTTATAACCTATCAGATGATATTCATTACACCCAAAATAATATTGAAATTTCAATCTACATAAGAGCAAAATATAAAGTGAAATTGTTAATTGAGAAGGATCAAATTGAGTCTACTATTAAAAATTAAATTTTAGATGCAATGTTTCCTTACATTATACACAAGACTCACAACATTTTGTCAACAAATAAGTTTACGTGGTCCAAATTGAACATTGAAATGTTACTACACGAACTATGAAGTTTAACTATTACTAAATAAATTTAAAAAATAATTCTAATGCTTTATTAAATCTATTTGTCCCTAACATAAACTGGTTATCTTGAAAGAAGATGTAGTAATATTTCCTAGTACAATTCGGAATGTTCTGTCATTTGGTTCGACAGCCCGGTATGGGTTTTGGCCGACCATCAATGGCCCAGTCTCTCGCCCATGGGATAAGTGGTTTGTGTTGTTAGTACGAAGACATGCGTCCACCGTATATATTGGTCTTCAGAACATGAGGGTGTTATTTCTCATCGTCACACTGCAATAGATCCTGGGACATTTGTAAGGAAAGTCCACAGTTATAATTTTGTCTCGGCCGGAAACCAAAGCCGAGGTTGCTCCGAGAAAAGCGAGCATGTTAGCCAATGAGCAACCGAGGGCCTACAATTCGGATTTTGTAAATATAATAAAGCATTAGAATTACTTTTTATTAGTTCGACATAAAACAACAAGAACGAAAGTTTTCGTCGATGAAAATATTAGTTCTTAAAAAATATTGCATTACACAAATATGAGGATTTTTCCGTTCGTCCTCCGACGCTTAAAATTTAAATATTCGCAGTCAGAGATAAATGACTTATTATAGACAGTTCGTGAAATCTTTGTTAACATTTATTTCTATTCAGAACGATAATTTTGTGAATTGTGTTTCTCAGAAACGTAATTCTGAAAAAAGTTTTTATTTAAATTGTTTATTTCAGGCCGCTTTACAAAAGTTCATTAGCGACCACTTATTTTAAACATAATTAAAGTATTGGACATTAAACACAAAACATTAGCTGCAACACACATTAACAAATAATAATGAATTACAATAAATGTTACATTGTCATGAGACAATGAAGGAATAGTTGTGTACTCTCGGTGCTCATCAACTTCGATAAACTTTGATATATTTGACTTACATGTTTTAACTTGAATTTCAAATAGCACTCTTAGTATCACCATACTTTTCTTTTGTTACTCTTACCGAAAGACTGGCTTCTGCGCGAAATTTAACCAACTAACTATCAGTATCAATACAAACCAGCTACATCTTTCGTTCTGCAGCTTTTGACATAATTGATGAAGGTATCAATCAGATCTTCCACGAAGGAGTCAAAATACATCTAGCTCCAGCCGGCAAATCTGACGCCGCCATCGAAAATCTCTCAACATTTAAATCAAATGTTAGTACAGATGAAGTGATATTGAAAGATTATTTCCCAGCCGTCTAGAAAGGAAGGTGTGAAAATGCAAGTGGTAAGTAAGTGAGTTTGGCATAATTTAACAGGAGAAAAATATTTATATCAGAAAAAAGGGTTCCAAATACACTCTTAATACATTTGTCACAGAAATTTTGAACTATTGTAAAGTCAAAGAGCAAAAA